TAATAAAGGAATGTAACTAACCTCAGTCTCAGCTAATATGCGTGAAGAACTGAGGGAAAAGGAAATGAATTCAAATGAATGAATATATCCGTGGCCTGGCATGGGTTAGTCCGAAATAATATAAAAGAGGTGTTGTGACCAAGTAGTCATGCTAGTGCGGGAATGTGGCTGTCCGGGCGAGTTCCTCACTCGGATGTGGGAATGTGGCTGTACAAAAACTTGTCTGGCCTCCCATAGCACATGGTTCCTCCAACAAAATCTATGTAAGGCAACTCCTGTGCAGGCTGCATGCTTAGTAAAATCCTCCACATTATCCTCACATGCACCCTGGATATCTCCGGTGACTCGCATTGCACTCTAAATGAAACTATAAAGTATTTCAAGTAAGAGAGTGAGACCATGAATCATCTAAGTAACAACGTACCCAATCATACTCACACCCAATGTAAGCACATTTTTGCCCCACTGAAATCTCATTCTCAGATGGCGATTTACCACAGTAGCACCCACCAAAGATATCCTCCTCCCCAATAACCCATCGCTGCTGGCCAGATCTAGTGCTTCACTTTGTACTAAAATGAGCTTCAAGACAAGTCAGTATGTGGCATTAATGGAAAGAAGTTCAAGGGACTCACATCCAAAATCGTAGTTTACAGGGGATGCTGAACAAGTGCTGGGTTCATCCTCTGTGTCAGAGACCAGGTTGAGAGGAAGGAAAGTCTCCGTGGCAGAGGGCTTCGGCCTCAGCGACTTATGCCAAGAGCGCTGTGCCTAGTAACATGTCCGTGCCCTAACTTACTAACTGGCAACCAGAACTGAAGGGGGTTAACTCTAGTCGATTTTATTACTGAAGTGTAACCTATGTACAAGTTGGGTATATTGTCAGGGCACACACCCTGACTAGCCCGGACCCGGACCTGCATGTGCGCCTCCGCCCTGCACGCTCCGCACACCGCATGCTCCGGGCCCGGTTCCTACCCTTCATGTGACTTCCGGGTATCCCCGGAAGTTTTCGCCATATTGGGGCCACTGTGGGAAAGTGAGAAGTTAACCTTCTTCTCACTTTCTTACCCACAGTAGGCAAGTGTAGCCTACTTCCTATTTATCTATACACTTTCTTACCCACAGTAGAGTTATTGCCCAGGGCAGGGCTGTTCACAGATTAGGCTGTGGGCTATAGAGAGAGGGGTCATGGGGACCCGGGGTCCGTCCCCTGACATATATATAGTTACAGCGAAGATGGGTCCGCAAATGGCGGAGCCAAGCAGAGTGGAGCTAATGGGGTTAAACATTAGCCGACTGAATATTACCAACGAGTCAGGTTACGGGGTTAATGGAAAGGCAGGCGATAATCCAGAAACGGAAAGGAGGGATAGGCCCAAGGGTGGGCTCTGCAGGGCAGGCGAGTGTATTGCCCAACAGAGGTGGGAGTGCGCTAGCGGACGTCGGAGCTGTCCGGAAGTCTTCAGGGCTCCGTACTTAGGGAGGCATAGGTAATAAATTGAAAGGAGGGGGTGGTGACCATCGAGGGGTACCGAGGGGATTGCAGAATATGGGAGCTCCGAGGTTAGTGAAGAAGGAGCGGGGGTAGACCGGAGGGATCGGAGGGACCAGAAGTCGATGGCTGGGGATGGATATGACACTCTGGATCAGAGATGGGTTCACTAGCGGGTTCACTATCCTCCAATATTTGTAACATTATTCGCAAAAACACACCTGAAAACCACCCATGAAAACTGATGTGAAATGTGAGTTTTGAGGCCATTTTGAGGTCGGTTTTGAGGTCGGTTTTTTGAGGTCGATTTTTGGGGTCGGTTTTTTGGGGTCGGTTTTTGGGGTTGGTTTTTGAGGCCAGTTTTTGGCATCATTTTTTGGAGATTGCTGTCCAATGGAAAAATATGGGAAAAAAAATGAGATAAGTATGGAGCATATACAGTAACATTATTCACCAGGACACACCTGTAAACTGCACATGAAAAACCACATGAAAGTGAAATTTGTTGACTTTTAAGGTCATTTTTGAGGTTCATTTTTGAGGCCTGTTTTTGAGGCCCACTTTTTCAAGCATGTATGTTGCCTCTTTTTGAACTCAGGGTCCACATATTCTCTCCTGCCACACAACCGCATTTCCCATGCCTATGTTGTAGTTTAGCACATTGCCAATGTTGCTGATGTTGGCAACAACAATCTTATTCATTTTTTAGATATTTCCATCTGTAATTACAATACATCTACGGTATAGTGAGAGGGTAGGTGGGAAGGGGTACTGGGGCATGCAGACACAGCATCTCAACCAGGAGAGGTGCCATGTCGGGGGTGCACACTGAAACCAAACTGCATGTGTCAAAATGGATGCATCAAAACCGATGCACATGTGTCAAAACTGGTGTAGGCACTGAAACGGATGGTGTGGGGATGTGGGAGGATGCAGTGGGCAGGGGGAATAATGTGTTATTTCAGCAGGGAGGGTGGAAGGAACTGGGCTGGGGCTCTGGAATGACTTTGTGGGCATTGGGGACCATTACTGGATAAATCCTACACAGTGAGGGTGTCATATCCATCTATGGCCATCGTCCTCCACTACCTCCGATCCTTCCAGACTACCTCCACTCCTTTGTCACTAACCTCAGAGCCCCCATATTCCGCAATCACCTCCGACTCCCTTGATGGTCACCACCCCCTCAATTCAATATATTATCTACGCCTCCCTAAGTACAGAACCCCAAAGGCCTCCGGACAGCTCCGACATCCACTAGCACACTCCCGCCCCTGCTGGGCAATTCACTTGCTTGCCCTGCAAGTCTACCTTCGGGCCTATCCCTCCTTTCCATTTCTGGGTTATAGCCCGCCATTCTGCTAACCCCATAACCTGACTCATCGGTAATATTCAGTTGGCTAACGTTTAACTCCGTTAGCTCTGCTCCACTCAGTCCCACCATTCATGGGCCTGCCCTTGCTGTAACTATATATACATAACTTGTAGATAGGTTACACCCTAGTGATAAAATCGACTAGGGTTAATCCCCCTTTTTAGTTCTCGCTGCCAGTAAGTAGGCACGGACATGTGACTTGGCACAGCACTCCTGGTCTGAGTCGCTGAGGCTGAAGCCCTCCACCATGGAGACGTATCCATTGTCTTGCATCCAGTCTCTAACAGAGGGAATCATCATCTGGGAAGTGATGTTGTTAAATCTTACCTGAGTATGGGAGCTTCCTAAGTGTCTCCCAACATTGTTGTGTGTCAGGGACGCATCCGGGGTCGAGAGGGCCCGGGGGTAATATCCGGCACTGAGGCCGTCGCGGGGTGTGGAGCGGGTGTGCGTACTGGCGGGCCCGATCCGGGACAGTGGTCCCTGGCCACTCAGACTGAAGTGGAGAATATGTTATTATTATTAAAGGGGAAAACTATACTACTTACCTGAAGTGGAGAATATGAGAAGAAGGTTACTTCTTCGGTTCCCACTTCAGGTACATTTATGTACATGCGGCTTGAGTCACATGACAGGTGCCACGTCATCCTCGGAGGCAGCCGCAGGCATCCGGGTGTCCCCGTGGGGGATCCCGAGAGCGTCCGCTACATGTGCGCATGCTGGGCACAGCGGGAAGCCGTCCGGGGTGTGTGGGCCGGACGGGTCAATAGTACATCAATACAAAGGGGGGTGGTCCGTGTAGATAGAAAGAAATAAACAAGAAGAGGAAGATGAGAAGAATGAAATAAAGAAAGGGGAAAGAAGAGGGGAAGGAAAGGGGAGGAGAGGGAGGAAGGAGGGGGGAGGGGGATAGACAGCGGGGAGCGGGTGTGGTGTGGCCGGGTGGGCCCGGGTGGGCCCGGGTCAGGCGGGTGTGCCCTGACATTGTGGCACAAAGGATGTCACGAAAAAAGTTTGCAGGCACATGACTTCTCAACAGCAGAAGTTTCTGGGTTTGGTCGAACTAATTCTATTGAGTTGTCCATGATTCCAGTAACTAACTTTGTCAACAAGAATACCCACTTTCCACTGCCATGGGTTTGAATATAACACCCTACCATCCACACTTTATCTAGTTTTTTTCCCCTTATTTTTCTGTTGGACAGCAACCTCAAAAAAATAATTCCAAAAACCTGTCAGGGCAACCACACCTGACCATACAACCCCAGAACCACCTTCCCTGACTTCCCCCCACTTCCCTCATCCTCCCATCTTTACATACCTCTCACAACTACAGCCTGCACACAAACCTGTGGGAAAAATCATGTGGGTCAAGGTGAGCAACTTGCCTTAACCCATGTGACACCTTTTCCAAATCGTGGGAAGCTTCTACCCATAGTCACATTATGAACTGTACAGTACATTTTCCTTTTATAGCAGCCAAGCAGGGAATAGGGAAACTTACCCTTCTTCTCAACTCAATCCCCACTTAGGCAAGTTGTAGCTACCTTCCATAATACATGACAACTCAATCCCTGCTTAGTGAGTTTGAGATAGGATCCAGCACCTGGCTGCCTGGGACACTGCAAGTGTCCAGCTCTGAGGTAGGGCCACCCCCAGACAGAGGCCAGGCCCTGACAAAAATACCTCCCCCCACTGCCACAAGTTTGAATATAACACCCTACCATCCATACCTTATCTCTTTTTTTTTTCCTTATTTTTCCATTGGACAGCAATCTCCAAAAAATGACATCAAAAACTGGCCTCAAAAACTGACCTCAAAAATCAACCTCAAAAAACCAACCTCAAAAACCAACCTCAAAACTGACCTTGAAATGGCCTCAAAACTCACATTTCATGTCAGTTTTCATGGGCAGTTTTTCAGGTGTGTTTTTACAAATAATGTTACAGAATATGCTCCATAGATAAGGTATGGATGGTAGGGTGTTATATTCAAACCCATGGCAGTGAAAAGTGCATATTCTTGTTAACAAAGTTAGTTACTGGAATCATGGGTGACTCAATGAATTAGTTCAGCCAAACCCAGAAGCTTTCCAACATTGAGAAGTCACGTGTCCCAAAACTTTTTTCATGACATCTTTGTACCACAACAGTGTTGAGAGACACTTAGGAAGCTCCGGTATCCAGGTAAGATTAACAACATTACCCCCCAGATGATTATTCCCTCTCACTTGTCTAGTATGGTCCCCAACACCCACAAAGTCGTTCCAGAGCCCCAGCCCAGTTCCTTCCACCCTCCTTGCAAAGTAATGCCTCATTCTCCCTGCCCACCACATCCTCCCACATCCCTGCACCATCTGCTTCGGTTCCTACACCAGTTTTGAAGTGTGCACATTGGTTTTGACTAGGGCTCCTAGTGGATCAGATGATCAGTGGATATCTGCAACTGCATCCGAAAATTCACGGATCCGGTTTTGGATTTTCAGTGGATAATATCCGCGGTTTCTGATCCGCAGATCGGTGGATTATCGGCAGATTTATTGTCGCCTACTGTCCTAGATACCCCTCCTATGTTTCTATACTTTTTTCCAATTTTTCCAAGTCTTATTTGACCACCCAGGCCCGTTATTTCCAAATTAAGCATTTGACCTCCAATTTTTCCACCATTTTCCCCATATTTCCATCAGTTCTCCACCAATATGGAGAAATTTGGTGTTGTTAGAAAGCTCTCGTCAAGGACATTCTGACTAAATAAAATTTCGGAACATTTTATCTACAATCCATGGTTGATCTGCATATCTGTAGATTTCTAACTGCCAGATACGGATTTTGTTTCAAACCTCTAAACATCCGCAGATTCTGATCCAGATCCGATCTGCTAGGAGCCATAGTTTTGACACATGCATCTTAATTTCAGTGTGCACCCCCGATGTGGCACCTGAGATGCTGTGCCTATATGCCCCAATACCCTTCCCCACCCACCCTCTGCATCATCCTCATGCTGTCTGTCTCTGAGTCAATGCACCATGCTTGTCCAGCCATGCCTGCCCCCACCACCATCTTACTAGTTGTACTGTGAATGTGTTGTAATTTAAATTAAAAAATGAATAGGATCGTTGTTGGCAACATTGGCAATGCACTAAACTACAATGTAAGCATTGGAAATGAGGTTTCATGGCAGGAGAGAATATGAGATTGAAAAGAGGATACATACTCAAAAAAGTGGGCCTCAAAAACAAGTCTTAAAAATGGGTCTTAAAAATGGGCCTCAAAAATGACCTCAAAAGTCCACAAATTTCACTTTCATGCAGTTTTTCATGTGTGGTTTACAGGTGTGTCCTGGCGAATAATGTTACTGTATATGCTCCATACTCCAAGCCAGGGCTCCCTACATTGGCTTGGGGTCCATAGTTATGTGGTTCATATCTTTGAATGTTATAGTTCTGCAAAGCCCAGTAAGCCATAATTACATGATTGGTTACTCACTCAAAGACTACCTGAGAACTATGTGCATCTGAAATGGTGAGCATGGCAGACTGGCTGCTTGAGCCATTTGTGCATTTACTGGACAACTTCTGTAGCAATGGTGACATCTTCTCCCACCTCCCTTTCATTCTTGACATTTCCTCTGTGGATATTGCATAGTCTAGTGAGTAGTGAGCTAGATTGGTAGGGTGAGATAACTTCAAGTGTTCTTCCATATTGTATTCCACACAACTGTTTTGCATAATGGACATTCCACTGGCATGTTTGAGCATGGTGAGTGCGACATAGATTTGGATGTGGGTGCATATCTGAATGATGAAGTGGGTAGGTGGTTGCAATGAGAGGCATTGTCAGAACCGTGCGAATCTTCGCCGAAGGTAGCCGTAGGCGACCGAGCGTTGCCCGCTAGTGGAATAGGCGTCCTACACACGACCGAGCTTTAGCGAGGAATAAACCCCACCGATCTCGAGGCCGAGGCTACTTAGGCGAGCGAGCCGGGATTTCGGCTTCAACGACTCGAGGAGGAGCGTTGCGCCTCGTTCTCGACGCGGTCCCGATACTTAGAAGGTCAGAGGTCTCGCGGGGACAGAGGTAAGCTCTAGGGGGTAATTCTAGTTGATTTCGAACTACAGTACAGGCATTAGTTACAAGCCGTATATAAGCGCTAGGGAACTGAATAAGGAATAAGTCACCAGATCTCGCGGAGATTGCGGGCGGAGAAAAGAAACAGGAAAACAAACAAAGAGCACGTGCTCAAGACAGCGAAGGTCAAGCGTGACCTTCGCCACGAGATAACAAGGTGCGGCGAAACATGGAACAACGGGTCGCGGCGCTCTGCGCCGCTAGGTCGTTCAATGACAAGGAGGAAAGGTGTTGTGGAGAGGTGGCAGGAAGTGGCTAGACGGCGACGGGCGGCGAGCGGAGTGTGCGGGGAGTGTTCGGGCGTGGGAGAAGGTCAGGGAGGAGGTCGTCTGGCCCCGGGGAACGCCGGGTCGTGACAGGCATGTAGATCAATTTGATAAGGTTGGTGAGCCTTGATTATGAGTTTAAAGATGCATTGGCCAGAGGGACGAAGACAGAATCCACATGGTTGATCTGAGCACATCAATCGGCCATCATAAAGAATGTGTGCCTAGGGCTCCTAGCGGATTGGATAACACTCGGATATCCGCAGATTTATCCAAAAATCCGCGGATGCAGATTTGGCTTTTGACAGGATGATATCCGCAGTTTCTAATCTGCAGATCTATTGTCGCTACTGTTCTAGATACCCCTCCTATGTTTCTATATTTTCTTCCAATTTTTTCAAGTCTTATTTGACCACCCAGGCCTGTTATTCCCAAATTAGGCATTTGACCTCCAAGTTTTCCACCGTTCTCCCCATATTTCCATCAGTTCTCCACCAATATGGACAAATTTGGGATTGTTAGAAAGCTCTCGTCAAGGACAATTCTGGAGAAGTGCAACTTTGGAACATTTTATCTACAATCCGTGGTTGATCCGCATATCTGCGGATTCTGATCCAGATCTGATCTGATCCAATCCACTAGGAGCCATATGTGTGCCCCATGTGCACCAACATGCCAGATGGCTTATTGAAGTCCAAGGAGATGTTGCATAGGGGGCAGAGGTTGCCATGGATGTCAGAGATTGGTCGTTTGCTGTTCATGAATTCCCCAGCAAAACACACTACCATCTTCAGCTGATGTTAGCATCTGCAACTCATGACCAAACAAGTTCAGGCTTACCACCAGGGTTTCTGTAAGTGTCATATCCCAGAATCCCAACCCTGCACTCTCCCACCCCACTACACCTTCCTAACAACTTCATCATCCCCTACACCATACCTGCCTACTTCCCGATGTCACCCTCCACTCCATACTGTCTCAGCTCCAGCCTGGACTTTGGCATGTTCACCCTTAGCCACCCCTATCCTGGAAGCTCAGTCCTGAGTTGGAACATTTGGAACCTCCAGATTTGCTCCGACCTCCCAACGAACCTCTGACATCTTGTTATATACTTCTAAACCATTCCTCTTTCCATTTCATTTAGTGGAGTCACCCAACATTCTCCAGATATGTAATTCCGACTTTGGAGCTACCCGTATCCTCCAGTGACCCTGCTCTCATCATCTTAAATTAGTCATCTTCCATTTATAGTACAACTGTTGTCTTCTTTCCATTCAGTCAGCTAACTTCCCCTTACCCATTTCTCATTCCCATTTATCCCCTGGCCTTTTACTCTGCCCTCCTCAACCCAACACCTCGGTTCCCTGTTAAAGATATTGTTCAGAACCTTTTGGTACCTTTTGGTATCACTTGGACTTTGACTAGAGTCCTTCTCCTCCTCCCTCTATATATACCTGTAGATTAGAACCCGTTGTACCTCAGTTCTAATCTCAACTAAAACTTACCCCAAGTCCCCCTATGAGTGATTCCTGACCCCCTCCTACAAGATACCTCAGACATCTGAAATAAAGGACTAACTGAGATGTAATGGAGGTACAGCGCTCCCTCTGAGTCACTGAGGCCACATCCTTCTTAGAGCCTCTTGTAACATGCAGCAGACTCAGGCTTCCTGGAGAAGCTCCAGTTCACTACTGGAGCTCTTGGAACCCCTCTAGTTGAGCCCCATCTGCACTCAGACTCGTCTCTTGGGTTTTTGACAGTAAGGAAATGTAGAAGATACTTTCACCTTTGGTAGGTCATACATTCCTTAGAGTCCACAGGCACTCAACAGTGACAGTTTTTTTGAAGATAAATGTTGCACATCCAGCCACCGCATCTTGCTGGATAGTTGGATTAATAGGGTGAAGGTCCATTTCTAGTTTCCAGTCTTTCCATAGCCAATCCTCATCACCCTCACAGACTGTCTCTGTCAATTTTCAAAGTGGATATTTGAACCACAGCTAGGAATGGGGTGTTTTTGACAACAACAAGAGTCACTGCTGGATCCTCAATGCAAAGGCTGTCACCAACATCAGCAAAAAATTGTTATGCTCCTGAGTGTCAGGGCACACCTGCCTGACCCTGCTCCACCTGGCCCGGACCCACCTGATCCCGTCATCCTCCACCCAGTACCTCTACCCTCCCCCTACCCTGCTTCCTCCCTTCTCCCTTCTTTCTTCTTCTTCCTTTCTTCTTCCCTTCTTTCTTCCCTTCTTTCTTCTTTCATTACAAAGATGACTTTCCTTATATCAATGTACCATTGACCCAACTGCAATGTAACACGCCCGGACCCGGATGCACCGGGCAACTTCCCATGCACCGGATGCTCCTAGGATCTCTCGCAGAGATACCTGGATGGGCATGGCTGTGTCTGTAGATGATGTGGTGCCTCCCACATGGCCTCAACTGCATGTATATAAACATAGCCTAAGTGGGAACTGAGAAGTATCCTTCTTCTCACATTTCCCACTTCAGCCTGAGTGGCCAGGGATGTCTGTCTGCATTGGGCCTGCTGCCATGCATGCCTGCATCACACCCTACTGGGCCCTCAGCACTGGGCGATACACCCAGATGCTCTCGACCCTGGGTTGGTCCCTGACACTGAGTGCTCCAGAGTATGGAGAGCATGGAGAGAATCAGGAGGAGATTGGCTGGTCCAGGAACAGCTCACACTTCTACATTTCCTCTGGAGTTAGCCAGGTACTCCAAGGCACTCCCAGGAGGGCATGGAGCATTGCTTTGTGCACAAACATATTGTCAAAGACTGGATTTGGAATGAGTGAGAACAGCTCAGTGTTTCAGAGGGCTGTGGCCTCAGCGACTCAGCCAGGAGCACTGTGCCCACTAACATGTCAGTGCCCTAATTTACAGACTGGGAGTCTTCTGGAAAGGAGGGATAATGTCAGAGACCAGGTTGAGATGAAGGAGTGTCTCCATGGCAGAGGGCTTCGGCCTCAGCAACTTATGCCAG